GTCTTCCATTCTTCAGTAGCAATCCCTTCATTCCAAGAGCCAAGGTGGCGCAGTGGTTAAATGCAGCACTGCAGCGGTTCAAATCTCACCGGCTCAGGGTTGACTCAGCCTTCCATCCTTCCGAGGTGGGTAAAATGAGGACCCAGATTGTTGGGGGCAATATGCTGACTCTCTGTAAACCGCTTAGAGAGGCCTGAAAGGCCTATGAAGCGGTATATAAGTCTACTGCTATATTCATTGGGAACTACATCTTATAATAACAACACAATGTTATGTTGAAATAGGTAGAAATCATCGCCCTTTTTTTAAATGAATGTTTGATCTTTTTGAATTCTGGGAGAGAGGAATGTGATGCACAGTAGAAAGAAGTAATAGTAAAATGGATTCACAAATAAATACTAAACATACACCAGAAATCTTTCTTATTAGAGCTTTTTCTAAAACATCAGACAGGACAGCTAATTCTACTTTTGTTTTTAATCATTCTTATTTAAAATATTTTAGAATTACACAGTTAATATTAATGTATTATTGAAACTTCAGTGGGAGAAGCAAGGAGGTTCTCGTGGAAATTTGCCCACTCAGGTTCTGGTGGGAGGGAGAAGAGTAGGCTAGCTGTTGGCAACCAAAAGACTCTGTTGCTTTCTAGAGAGGCAAGACCAGAAATAGCCTGATTTGAGGTCTTATTTGTGCGGCTGGGCAAGTTGGGTGTTCTAGTTTATTGCTGCCTCAGACAGCAAGATGGGTGGCATATATATCTAATAAACAAGTAAATCCTCCTGTTACACATGGCAGCCCTTCCAAGACTGTTTAACCTGATTGCCTAGTAGCAATGGTGTTTCCCCACTTACTAGTCCTGGATGAATTCTACATGATTCACCTTGACAAGGAGTTTGGAGCAACTCAGTTCACAGCAGCCATGACAATCATGGAACAGATCCAACTTATTGTGAGCTCACTGCATATGAAAATCACACACCAGATCTGTGTTTTGTGGAAGACCAGATGTGATCTGAAAGTGGAGGATTGTATATTGTAATCTGCTTGTCGTGGACAGATTATTCTGATTGCTGTGGGATTTGTCATCGCGCCCTACTCCACATTAAGGGGGACCTAGTAGATTGGCCTCTCTCAAGTTTCTAATAGATTTAATGGGTTTTCAGAGATCTCTTGGCAGGAAATTTGGCTGAATTTCTGGTTTGGAATAATCGGATATCCAAGGTTTTGGACTGGATTGCAATGGAGTGGCCTCCCTGTGTGCTGATCTGCTCTAGGAAATGAAGTGGTGGAGAAAATGATTAGAGTACTGCTGGACAAAGATTTGTCTTGAGCCTGATTGGTATGACATCATCCTCAAGCCTACATAATGGAGATTTAGGTTACAAAAAAATTGTTTTTTGCTTATTATGTTGGCTGAATGCCACCCAGCAGCCCTATTGAAGGCAACCCTTTTCCTTTTAGCAAAGAGTAATCAGGATTATCTAAAGAGTGCTGTGAGAAATTTTCATTACATTTAGTGGACAAAGCCGCTTACATTTGGTCGGAGTTAGACTCTAGTTAGTGAGTATCCATGAATTGGTTTTCTCTTGGGATATAATATGGGATTATTTTCAGTCTGTGAGACCTGAGGAAGTGGATAGGATCCACTCTCCACTTATTTTTAACACTTACTTTATTTTTACATAAAATCCTAGGAGAGGTAATTTGTCAGTAAACAGTCTAATACCATCAATGTGTAGGGATGACATTCAGCAATGTGTCTCAGTGCTAAACGAGGGATGCAGTGGAACTGCTGATCCAGGGTATGGAGGATTATCAAGATCTGGAGATCTCACCCTTTTGGGCAGATCAAGGAACATCAAAGGTGACCTCTTTGCTTTGGAAGTTGTGTTAATTGCCAATGAGTTTCCTGGTATGATTCAAGGTGCTGGTTATCACTTTTTAAGGCCCTACATGGCTCTGGTCCTGGTTATCTGAGAGAATACCTCTTCTCTGGCATTTACCTACCTGTCCAACCTACCTGTCATTGGGTCAATTCTCCCAAGTCCCATCCCTGTGGGATTGTTATCTGATGGGAACTTGGAGTTGTCTTTTTTCTGTCACTGTCCCCATTTTTAAATTGCCTTGTCTTAGCACTTCAATTTGCTTCATCCTTCATGTGCTTTAGGAAACTTGAAAAATCTTTTTTCTTCCATCTTGCACAGAGGGAGAGTGTTTTTATATAATATGCTGGTGGGCTCTGCAGCACATATGACTTATTTATAATTTTGTTTTTATATGTATTTGAAGGAAAGGGTTAAATTGTTTATTGTAAGCCACTTATAGCTTGGGACAGCAGGCAGCATATAGATATTGAAAGTAAGTAAACAAATAAGTTTGTTCTATCATGCAGAATTGTGCATTTGAAGCTTGCCAACGCAAAATGTCACCCAGACAAACACTCCCATTGGAATAGCTAGAAACCAAGATTGGCTATCACGTAAGTGTAATGGGCAGATGTAGGGGAATAATTTTGAGTCCCTTCAATAAAATAATAATAAATATACCAGGCAACTTGTGACTTGTCGGATAGCAGTTTATCTTATCTGACCTCCAGTTTCCAAAGGAGGCGCCTGTCTATCTGGCCCAGCAAATAATCTTAGATGCTTCAGTCTCCTTGTTATGTCTGGTCCTATGTAAATTGTTGTTCCATTTGGTTTTGAGCTGCAGATTACCCACAAGAGCTCTTTCCCGCTGCTTCACATTTTGAGGAAAGGTTAACAAGAACAGAGCAGCAAAAATAGAGAAATCACTTTCATGAGGCAGTGAAGTTATAGAAAATAGAAGGAATCTAGATCCATCCATATGCTATTGCATTGAAACAAGATTTATATTTATATAATTATAAATATATTTATAATTTATATAAATATATTTATATAAATTATTTATATTTATATTACAAGAGTGGCCTTTGAAAGCATTGTATGATGAGAAAGGTGAATCAGAAATTGATTTGATTTTAGAGTAATTTGAGCTTTTCCATTTTATTTATTTAGCAAATGAATTATAGCTACCCATGTCAAACTTAATGATTAATTCCTTATTACAAGTGGAATACTGCACTGATTGTAAGCTTCACAGTATTGCTTATGCAGACTTTACATAAGTAAAGTGAAAACTAATTTTTTTAGTTGATTGGTGACATACTGCTACAAGCAACCTGGTTGAAGGGAATGAAAAAGTTGGTTGGTTTTTTAGTTAATTTAATACATTGCAATATTATCAGAAAACTGAATATCTTTAACAAAAATTTTCTTTTCTGTTATAGATGTGCACTGGACTGTAAAGTGGGTCAGAGCAGATTTAACAGTTTTTGACCATATTTTGCATCTGCTGAAGGCAAGATTTTAACATATTTTTTTTATTGCTAGCTGTAACTTAATAAATATCTTACTACTTGACAATGGTTTTAAAGTGGTGGTTTTAAAGTGATTAACAATTATTATTTTTTTGCAACCAGTGTGGATTTGTGAACTCTGAAAGAGTGGCTGTTCATTTTTAGATAATAGAAGCATTTGAAAGTTTAGTTTATAGTGGCTAGAAAAGCTGGGGTGAATTTTTCAGCTGTAACATATTGATGAGGATGATGAAAGAAGCCCGAGATATTAGCTAACTCTACAGTTCACCAAAATTCCATAGTGGAAATTGGAAATTAAGGCAGTCTTTATTACCTTTTTATTGTTCTCTCACATTAGTAGATGGAATTGACATGACAGCAATAAAGGCCTCTAGAGGGAGCTCAAGCTCTATAAAATTTCTCAGGTCCTGTTAGTGCTACTTAACTTCTGTTAATGCTGTTAAAAAGAAGGTAGTTACAGATAAGGAATTGTTTCCAAATACAAATAGCAAAAATGAAAGTTGTGACATATTTCAATTAATATATTCTAAAATTGTACTAACTGTTCTCCTTAGTTTAATGTCCTATGCAAAGTAGCTAATTCAAAAAGGTTGAGTTTATGTTGGTACAAGATATGAAATGCAGAGCTCTGTGAAATTTTAAAAAGCTGGAATAGTGTTTAATCCAGAGGTGGGATTCAGCAGGTTATGATCAGTTTTGGAGAACCGGTAGCAGAAATTTTGAGTAGTTCAGAGAACCGGTAAATACCTATTCTGACTGCCCCCGCCCCGTCTATTCTCTGCCTCCCAAGTCCCAGCTGATCAGGAGGAAATGGGAATTTTGCAGTAACCTTCCCCTGAAGTGGGGTGGGAATGGAGATTTTACAGTATCCTTCCCCTGCCACGCCCACCAAGCCATGCCACGCCTACCAAGCCATGCCATGCCTACGATACAGGTAGTTAAAAAATTTGAATCCCAACCACTGGTTTAATCGCTTTGTTCTAATGTTAAGAAAAGTCATTTCTTCGCTTTAGTGGTAAAGTGCAGACAGAAAAGTTTTGAGTAGAGAAATGATATTACTTAATGAATCAGGGTCATCAAATACTTTTAATTCTTATATAAATGGCAGCTTTTCTGGAAATTGCAGCTGTTCCTCCTGGTTGAAGAATCATATTTTAAAGCTTCCCTGGACTAAGGTGTTGAAGCTTCTCCCCTTTTATCTGGCTGACCTAGAAAACCAGAACAATTAATGTATATAGTTAAAAATCCTGGCAGGATTTTGCAGTTTTTGGCATCATTTCCAAACCAAGCCATAAATTATAGTAACTCCTTCATCCTCCAGCACTTCTCCAAATAGCAGAAAAGATACCTTGGCCTCAGCTTTTGCTAGGCAAGGATAAAGACAAAGCTTTTATATCCAGCCACGACTAGGAAAAAAAAAAAACCTTCAGGAAAAAGAAGCAGCATATTGACCTTAATCAGCATTCTCAGCACAGTCCTGGGCTTTCTGCTAGGCAACAACTAAATAAATACTCTGACCACCGTTTATTACCTCTCATAGGAATGAAAGATAACAATATGCAGGGTTCACTCTGATTATGGAGAAAGGCAAACAGCCATCCAATAATAAGCACGAAATCTCCAAGAAAACTTGGGAACTTTATTGTAAAGCTCATAAACTCAGACGGTGGGTGTTCTCATCACACTAGTGCCAAGTTTCCTTTTACTTTAAACCGTATCTTTCTCAGCTGTGTTTGCCTAAGAGAGATCATAAGTGCATCCTGCCAACCACAGCTGTTGCTAGTCTCTGCAGATTGTCACATAGGCTCCTTTTGAAAACGAAAGAGGATGTATAAATCAAATCTTCTATTTTTGCTTTTGTTTTCCTGATCGCTCATTGGCTATTTTAGTTGAATAAAACTATTTATGTAAATAAAAAATGTTCAATGAAAAATACTGCAGCAGTTATTTCGGCAAGTCTGATGAGATTCATACCTATCTTTTTAGCACTTGCTAGTCAACTCCTCTGCCTGAATTAACAATTTCTGATGTAAATAACAAGCAGTTCCCTGAGGAAATAATCCCATTAAAAGTGGTGTTATTAATAGCAAATACAAGAATTTCTGATTTGTATTATCATTAAGTTAACTTGAGACAGCCTGGTACAACGGTGCTTAAAAGTTTGTGAACCCTTTTGAATTTTTAGTTATTCTGCATAAATATGACCTTAAGTATGATCTGTTCTTCACACAATTCCTAAAATTATATAAAAACCCAATTAAACAAATAGATTAAAATTGTATAGTTATTGAGGAAAATGATAAAAAAAATTATGCAGAAATATTGAACGTTCAAAAGGGTTCACAAAATTTTGAGCACTGTACATAGTCTAATGTTTTTTTGACAATTGAAGAAAAGTATATTTCTTCTCTCTTTTTTTTCAGGAATTTGTATATTATTTATAGTGTAAACCTGGGGATCAAAGTACAATATTCTGGAGAATGCCTTGCAATCATCACTATAGTGGCCAAAACTAAATCCCCAAAAATGAGAGAATCACAAATGTAATACCATCAAAAGTACTAAAAATATTTTCTGTTCTGAAAATAGTGCAGAGCATCATATGTATACTATTCAACTTTCGGATCTTGCATTTAAACAATAGCTTTTCTTATTTAAAAAAAAAATTGTTTAAAACTTTGACATTATTCTTATTAACAGAAGCTCGCAATTTCTTCCATTTTATTTTCAGCTGCAGGTTGGCTACATTTCCCATTCAGTCATGTCTTACGTGTTTGTAAATGATTCTTCCCAAACAAATGTGCCTCTGCTACAAGCTTGCATTGATGGAGATTTTAACTATTCAAAAAGGCTATTGGAGAGCGGCTTCGACCCAAACATCCGGGACAACCGTGGCCGAACAGGTCTTCACTTAGCAGCAGCTCGAGGAAATGTTGATATTGCTCAGTTGTTGCACAAATTTGGGGGTGATCTTTTGGCCACAGATTACCAAGGTAACACAGCACTTCATCTGTGTGGACATGTTGATACCATTCAATTCCTCGTCTCCAATGGACTCAAGATAGATATTTGGTAAGGTTATCTCTCTACCGTATGCCTAAAAGTCAGTCTTGTCTATTAACAATTTAAATAGCTCCTGAGAATATATTTCAGCTTTCTTAATCCTTATTCATCAAAAATTCAGGATTGTGGAAGCTTTTGACAAAAGTGCCTTTGGCCCACTCTACATGCTACTTTTACTATGAATAGAAAGACAAAATATGTTTGATAACTTTTCTGTTGTATTTTTGGGGTAGCACTTACCATTATGATTCCTTCAGGTCAGGTGGATACTGTCAGCATAGAAATTATTTGTAACTATTCTTGAAAGTGTGTTCTTGTCACAAACATTCTGTATAAAAATGAGTTTATATCACATTGCACTGGAGCTATGAAAAAACCAGCAAGCAGTGAACATTTCCAGCACTATCCAGGCTGCTTCAATTACAATATAGCTGCCAAAGATTTAATCTTAGTGATCAGGATTGATGTTTCAGTCCGGCAACGTTTTGAGGACACTTGCGTTGGTTCCTCCAAAGCAAGTGCGTACATGACATTGTTCTGATTCTGATGCCAACCCCTGACATGGAGATACCTCAAAATAATTGACCTCTTTTAATAACTTGAAATATATGTATATTTATTCAAATTGTAAACAGAACTGGTTCAAGACGTCCTTTCTATTTCATTATTTTTCAGTCCTCACCCAACCAGCTCTCAGAATGTATGAATCAATCTTTCTCTGAAATGTTGTATATTCACTCTACCAGGCTCCTAGCATCTGTCATATGCCAGTTGTCCAGACAAAAGCACTTAGTGTACTGGATAAATAGCTGTTTGACAAACACAATTAACAATAATCCCAGAATTGTTTGTTCTTTGACCTCTTGGTTCATGTATGCTAGTGGTTTGAAACTTAACCATTGTTCTTAAATGATTGACGCTAAGCCTCTGTTCTTTATTTTTATATTGAGTTACAGTATTTTGCTTGGAGGTGATGACTAAGTTGTGTCAAAAGAGGGGAAACTTATGAGTTAGCATATACAGGGCGGGGCATAACCTTTTCCTAGGGGGTCACAGCAACACTTGTAATAACAACACAAATAATTCATACACCATTCGAAAGCCCATCAAAAACTGAGTTTATTGACACGATTTAATAGTCAGTATGACCACCATTAGCCCTTCGAACAGCATTCAAACGAGGTGCCTCTCGAAAGGCAATGCATTTTATTCTGCAATGATCCTTTGTTCTTCCGAATCGAATTTTCCAGCCATTCTTAAAGCAAATTTAACATTTAATATCTCATTCAATTCAGTTTTTTATGGGCTTTAAAATGAGGTGTCGCGGAAGTTGTAAACTGCTGTCGATCTTGCTGTGACCCCCTAGGAAAAGGTTATGCCCCGCCCTAGAATTGCAAAATAATGACTGTTTGAAGATTTGTTGTGTTCTTATCCACCTCGTTTGAATGCTGTTCGAAGGGCTAATGGTGGTCATACTGACTATTAAATCGTGTCAATAAACTCAGTTTTTGATGGGCTTTCGAATGGTGTATGAATTATTTGTGTTGTTATTACAAGTGTTGCTGTGACCCCCTAGGAAAAGGTTATGCCCCGCCCTGTACTTATTTGAACTTTGCAACGGTTGTCATAATTAACTTGGGAGTGACTTCTTGATAATGGAACAGAAGTTTCAAAGAAGAATCAATACTGAAACTCTTATTGCCATATGAAAAAAAAAATCCTGGTGGGACTGCCTTGTTTACCATTTAAATAGCAAATAAACATTGAAGAAAGTGGAAAGTACAAATGTTAAAGCTTGAATGTGATTTTACACTTGAATTTAAAATAAACCGATTACCGAGTTTATTTAAGTGTAAATAAAGCCAGCCAATTTAGCTCTGAATAGTGCTTTCCTAAAAGTTGCTTTTATTTCTCCCTTTTGTTTCTGTTGTCTCAAATTCAAAAAGACAAAAATGCTTCAATAAGGAATAAAACTAAAAAGCCAACTACGCATCTTAATTATTCCCTATACTACAGGTAGTCCTCAGTTAAGAGTGGCAACATCACCTGGTTGCCATTTGCAGCCTCTTGCTGCCTTCCTTACTGAGTTTGCTTGTTGGAAGCCAACAAAGAAGATTGCAAATGGCGACCATCTGACTGCAGGAAGTGGCAGTGTTGTAATTGCAAGCCGGGTGCTGAGCACCTGGATCGTGACCACAGAGACACTGCAATGACTGGGACTCCAAAGACTGATAATAAGTAGCATTGGTTCAGCGCCAGGGCAAATTCAAACAGTTGGTGAGAGCAGTTATTAACCGAAGACTGTCCGTAGTACTTTGTATATGTAAAAAAAGCCTTAGCATTTTTATTTTAGAAACAAACACCAAAGTTTTAAGAAAGAGTAGGAAGTTTAGTGACTGCTTTGTAGAGTGACCATGTGCAGTTATGATGGTGATAAAAATTTTATGAGCCATGGTGGCGCAGTGGTTAGAATGCAGTATTGCAGGCTAATTCTGCCAACTGCCAGCAGTTCAATTCTCACTGGCTCAAGGTTGACTCAGCCTTCCATCCTTCCAAGGTCAGTAAAATGAGGAGCCAGATTGTTCAGGGCAACATGTTGACTTTGTAAACTGCTTAGAGAGAGCTGGAAAGCCCTATGAAGTGTTATATAAGTCTTAGTTCTATTGCTATTTACAACCAATCCTTGTATTTATGATCTTTGCAGATCGTAAAGCAAAGGAAAGCTGAAGTTCAGAGGTGGTATTCTGTTGGTTTGGACTGGCTTGCCCGAACCGGTAGCAGAAATTGTGTGTGGCCTCGCCCACCCACCCTGACTCTATGGCATCCCATTTAGGCACTTTTTTTAGCCAAAACACATGCGCAGAAGGCTGAGCGCATGAGCGGTTACATTTGCGAACTAGTAGGGAAGGTAAGTGAATACCACCCCTGATACAATTGTGTCCTAGGTATGGTCGCTAAGTCAAGACAGCCTATAATGGCAGGAGACAGACTTTAAAACTGCAATAATAGGTGGAACCTTAGTAGGCTGTCAAAGTGGCTTCCCTGTAGCAACTATAACATAAAATTGACCTTTTCCTGCTTCAGTGAACAAGAATGGAAGTTATGCTAATATTGTAAAGGATTGTAAACAGAGCTATTTGGTAAATTATAATTTAAGGATCATGTTAAAAGAAATTTATAGTTTTTGAATACCTGTAGGTTTTTTTAAAAGAAATAGCTATTTATAATGTCAGTTCTGAGATTTCAGGGAAAATAGGGTGTGTGTTGACTGCTTTGAGTTATTTGTAAAAATAATTAGGCGTGATCAAATAAGGCAATATCTTCCAAATACCTGCTGTTTTTGAATTCTTAAAACATAATATAGAGAAAATAAAGTTCTAATTTCAGTTTCACAAGTTCTTTTTTGACCAATTCATGTACAAAGAATTAAGAAATTTCAGAAGGAAATTATTCCAAATATTGTTGTATTTCTGGGTAGAGATTACCTGATACTGTAATATACTAATCTCCTACAAAATCTAATCATTTTACACATACTCTTGACTTTTAAATCTGATGCAATTGAAATATATGTAAGATTCAGGTATTTCTACCTCTAGTTCAGTGGTAGTCAACCTGGTCCCTACCGCCCACTAGTGGGCGTTCCAGCTTTCATGGTGGGCGGTGGGGGGTTTGCTGTAACTCTGCTTTGTAAATTTTATAAAGTAAAGTTACTTCCCTACTTTATAAATCACCATTACTGTGGAACCGGTGGGCGGTCCGAAAATTTTACTACTAACAGAGATACAAAAGTGGGCGGTAGGTATAAAAAGGTTTACCCCTGCTCTAGTTAATCAATTCTGCTTAATAGAATAGCTAGATTTATTTACATATTTGTATTATTACTAGAGATCTTCAGCTTTTCATTGAAAGAAAGCAACTGCTATCATTTTGTGGGAGAGTTCCAGCAATTTATCAACAGCTTTCTTTTCAAAGGACTCTTAATTAAATTACCTTTTGTTTTAAAATCCAGAAGAATATAACATCCTTGTAACACAGGAAGTAAAGTCAAAGTAACTGTTAGATCAAAGTGCTTGACTTCAGGTATAATGCAATTTAATGCAAATTCAACCAGATTATTATCATGCTGTTATTGTCTGCAATTATGGCCCTATTACTTCAAGCACTTTCAGAGTTGTGGATGAAAAGTAATGAGGTACAGTTTCCAATAAAGTAAGATAAACATTTTTTCCCCATACAGTTGATATGTATATGTTTTTCAGATAGAAGCTGTTCTGTTACCATTTTTTCCCTTTTTCCACTTTACATAGCAATCATCAAGGGGCAACCCCTCTTGTCCTGGCAAAACGAAGAGGAGTAAATAAAGATGTGATTCGATTGCTTGAATCTTTGGAAGAGCAGGAAGTGAAAGGATTCAACCGAGGAGCACACTCAAAGCTGGAAACAATGCAGACCGCTGAAAGTGAAAGGTTTGCCCTCCCTCCCCCCATTGCTTTGATTCTGTTTTACTGGCTAAACATCATTGGAAAAATTGTCTTATGTGGAGCTTATTCTGCATAGTGGAAAAGGTCAGGGCTTATTATGTGACGTTTTTCTCCCAAATTTTGTAGTTGGAGATGTTTAGACTCTTCATTGGAAAGAGTTCTAAAGAAGTTGGACTGTCACATGGCCAATGAACTTCAGGACTCAGCTCAAATTGCATATTTGGAGTAAGTCATTGTCTTTGACTTGAAATATGACTTGACAGTCCTTTGTACAATTAATAAGTACTTACACATACGAAATTCAACGCTGGAGGGAAGGTTCTAGTTTTTCTTTCTCCTTGAGATTATTTGAAATTGTAGATTGTTTGAAAAGAGAAGCCACTGAGCTCCAGTCTGCTTTCTGAAGTGGTCTAGCTCAAATGTGACTTGTGGGCTATTTTTTTCATACAAAAGCTATGGGTACATACATCACATGACTCATAAAAATCCTCTGCTATTTTAAAGGAAGCTATGCCTTTGCAAATACATTGTGAGACCTTGAGTAGGTAGAAGTTGTACTTACAGCTTTCTGACAACTGCATGCTATGCAGTTAAGCATTCTTAGATAGATAGCAAAGAAAAGAGCTGTTGCTTCTGGCACTTTGACTGAATGTTCACCACCCCATCTCCCTTGCTTTGGACATAGGTAGATATACCTATCTTAATGATACATATTTAAACAAAACAAGCTGGAACATACATATAGTTGGATAAGACAGGGTTAAAACAAAGCAAGATTGTTTTCAGTTTCTTTTCTCTTTCAGTATTGTTATTTTGGGAAGTTGAGGGACCTTGCTCAAGTTTACAAGTCTAGTTTCATTATTTTAGAATTTAGTATTATCCTATTATGAAACTTTTTTTTTCTTTTTGCCTGGAAGGTCACTTCTTATTTTCTGTCTGAATACTTGGGTTGCCAAGGCCTAGAATAATAAAAGACGGAAAATGTTTGTGGGTAGGATCAACATTTTCAAGGTCCCCTCCCCCCTAGATTTTCAGAATTGGTTTTTTTTAAGGAGGGCTAAGCCTATATCAAAGCTTAAATTAATTCATTTTCTTTTCCACTAGAAATGGGAAATGTTTTGCTGTTGAAATTCTGTAGGGCTGCATGCAGGGATCTAGGAACCACAGACTGTAGACTGCCCACCCTTGTAGTATACTAAGCGTTGTATTGCCAAATAAAATATTCAGGCAGATGATAAATCAACATTGGTTTGGATGAATTCATTTTTTGCATTAAGAATTAACTGTGATAAAACTACTGTCCTTGTAAATTTCTTTCTGTGTGACTTAACTAGTCAGCATTTGTACTTACGTACATTTCCAGTTTGGGAGTTGATTCTGAGGGTTATAAATGTAACAAATAAATGCATACATATGTATATTTTTATTAAGCTTTTTTCTTTCTCTGTTTGTCAGTTCATTACAAGAAATGTTATGTTGCTTTGTGGAATGAGACAGTATTTTTAAGTCATTATTTAAGTCTTAGCTATTTCAATAAAACACAAGCCATTTCTTTTATTCTATAAAATAGCAACAGAGAATTATTGATGGGGTTTTCTTTTTCCTTAAGTTTTTTCCGTAATCTTTTTTCAAAATTCTCTCAACTAAAAACTGAATGTAATTTCTTTTCCCAACACAAATAGTCTTCAACATATGACCGGTCATTCAGTGACATTTGAAAGTACAATGGTTCTGAATGAAGGGATGTGTGCTCAAACTTATAGCTGTAGTAGACTCTGTGATCACAAGATTGTGATCTGGGCACTTGGCAATCTATTTGCACTTACGACTGGTTGCCAAGTGCCCCACGGTCATATGATTGCCATTTGCTTTCTTCCGTGCTGGCTTCCCCAGCAAGCTAATAGGGAAGCCAGCAGGGAAGATTGTGAGCTGCTGCTGCCTGCCAAGAAGACTTTAGACTTTAGTCTTTCTGGGGGCTGGCTAAAAAGACCCTTGCCAAAAACCAAACAGGGTTTTCAGCCACAAAGGATTTTCAACTTCAGAACACAGAGACTTGTGTCTCTTCTGAGGGGCTGAAAATCCTGCAGAAATGCCAGAATTCAGGAAGAGCAGAGAGACAGCCGGGTAAGGTAAGGGAGACCTAAGGGGTGTTATAGTCTCTGTGCTCTGAAGCTGAAAATTGACTCAAGGATTTTCAGCCCTTGAGTGGCAGAGAGATTTGTCCACAGCCCCTCCTCCAACTCTCAGGGGGAGACCCAAGGACTCTCTCACCCCCTTAAGTCATCCTGCATTCTTTACCTGGATTTCTGTCCATTCGGTGACTCATAAATACTGCAGTTGGGAGTGCGGGGATTGCATTTGTTGAGCAAAGCAATCACATGACACATCAATAAGTCACTTTATTCAACAACTGAGATTCTGGTCCCAATTGTGGTTGTAATTCTAATTGAATGTTTGCTTGTAAGTGGTGGTGCGGTAGTTAGAATGCAGCATTGTAGGCTAGTTCTGCTGATTGCCAGCAGTTCGAGTCTCACCGGCTCAAGGTTGACTCAGCTTTCCATCCTTCCGAGGTCAGTAAAATGAGGACCTAGATTATTGGGAGAAATCTGCTGGCTCTGTAAACCACTTAGAGATGGCTATAAAACACTGTGAAGCGGTATATAATTCTACTGCTAATAACATGTACCTAATGAAAGGCAAGCTCCCATTACCTGTCCCAGCTCCTGCCCACTTAGCAGTTCAAAAGCACACACATGCGAGTAGATAAAAAGGTACCACTTCAGTGGGAAAGATAAAAAGAGTTCTGTATGCCTTGGTGTATAGTCCTGCTGGCCACATGATCATGAAAAATGTCTTCAGACAATTCTGGCTCCCTCACTTAAGAAACGGAGATGAGCACCATCCTCTAGAGCAGTGTTTTTCAACCTTTTTTGTGCAAAGGCACACTTTTTTCATGAAAAAAATCACGAGGCACACCACCATTAGAAAATGTTAAATT